TTTGTTAGGGTGATTTAATGTTGGTGTTGTGTTAAATAAAAAGGATGATTAAATAAATATAATTATCAATGTAATAAAAAATAATCACAAAATTGTCAATCTCTTACTCTCACTAATAAACCATTTGAATATATGAAAATGTTTATAAATTAATTTATATTAAAAGTATAAACTACAATATATAATAACCAGATTATTTCATTTGACAATCTTATAAATGTAAAATATGTGTTTTTTATAGATATAGAAAGGGGCTACACAAAATGGGGGGTAGCATGTCCTCAAAAATCAAAATAGCTAATAACACTTAATGGCCTAGGAATGGAACTACTAGAAACTTCATTAGAGTGAACAAAATTAGCTAACTAGTCTATAGCAATATTAAAGTTGACAACTCTCTTCAAATAATCTATAACTAGCTTGGAGTCTTCCTCAATGATGATGAACCTGTTAGGAAAATTAAGAGCAACATTGTGGGCCTCCCAAATAGCCCGGACTTTCGTGACATTGGTGGTAATATTTGCCTAACCTGTAAGCCTTAAGGTCCAAAATATGACCCATATGATCGCTGGAAACACATGCAATTGTACAGATTTCATTGATATAGGAGGCATAAAAATTGATTTTAATTACATCATACTCAAAACAAGACCATCTAATAGGGATAATTTCCCTCTTTTTCTGCTCACTCTAACCATTATCCATAATACATTGAAGTTCGAAAAAAATGCACTATGAGCTCTTTTAATGGTAATGGAGAGGGGCATTTTCATGTTATTAAAAACACTGTCATTAAGGTTCTTCCAAAGTTGCTAAAGTAGAAATGTGAATTTTTTCTTTCTATAAGTTCTCCATTCCATGAAGAAAAATAAAGGTAGTTCTAGAGTGATGGCCTGCAAGATTGATATGGAAAATGCATATGATACACTAGATTGGAATTTTATTGAGAGTGTTCTTAAGAGATATGGTTTCCATCCCAAATGGATTGGATGGGTGATGGAATGTACCAAGTTAATATCTTACTAAATTCTAATAAATGGTGTTCCATCTAGGTAAACCACTCCTCAAGGTAGCTAACAAGGGGACCCTCTCTCTCCATACTTATTTGTCCTTTGTGTTGAAGCTTTAGCAAAAAAAATTGAAGAGAGGTTGAGTTTTAGTCATGACAATCCTATTGGATGTAGAGCCTCAAGACAATGTCCTAACATCCCAATCCTCCAATTTGTTGATGACTATTGGATTTTTGCCAAGGCTAACATCTAAATCTACTTGATAGTAAAAGAAATTATGGAGAAATTTGCTAAAGCCTTTAGTCAGGTTCTTAATTTTTCTAAATTAACCATTATTTTGTTTAAAAATATTCACCCGAAATTACAAAAAACATTATCAAGAATTTTAAAAATTCCTCTAGGTATTAGAAGTGATTTGTACTTAGGGGCCATTGTCTTCTCTAATAGGTATTGTAAGAAGACTTCCAATTTTTTAAATGACAATGTCAAGAGGAGACTTGTGGGTTGGAAGAAAAACACTCTATCTCTTGTAGGAAAAGTCACCCTCCTTAAATCCTTAACTAATATGATACCTCAATACATAATGATGGCCTTTAAAATCACAAAAATGCTATAGAGGAAATGGATAGGAAACAAAGAGAATTTTTGTGGACAAATCACAAAGATAAAAAACCTTTGCACCTAGTTAATTGGAGCAAAGTTTGTACCTCCAAGCATTGGGGAGGATTGGGTTTAAGAAATATCTGGTGGGCCAATGAAGTAAACTTGGCTAAGTTCAACTAGAGAATTTTGAATGAAAAGGATAATATATGGGTCCAAGTAGCGTGTTAGAAGTATTTAAGAAATACAAAATTTTAGGAGTTGGTCAGTAGGAAAGGGTATAGCTAAACAAGTTTGGCTAATGATTAGACTTGGTGCATATTCTTAATAACCCCAGTGGCACAATAAGTGATTGGTGGCATCTCATATCTAGTAAATATGTATGTAATAAATAAAAAAATACATAAATTTGATATAAGTTATTAAATAGATAAATCATACTCTAGGCATTTACCTAGCCTTATTGGAAGGGGGACCTTTTAATCGATCCACAAACAGTTCTAGTCAAAGCATTTAATTGGGGAGGGATCTAGTGGTTCATTATTTTACAATGGATTTGGCATTGTATAGAGCAAAATATTTGAACATGATTCATGTAGTTGACCTATACAGTTTTGGGATAAGGCTCAGATGACAATGATTGTCAACACTCGATTTTTGCTTGGTCCCTTTTGTAACCTATTTTCCGCATCCCGAATGCCCAATCAAAACACACCAATCTCTTTAGAAAGTGCTAAAACCCCAAGAAGCTGAATTTTAGCTTAAAAACCCTCAAATCCACCGTTATCTATACATGATTCCCTTTTGAAGCTCTTGATTAAACCACATCACCATACTTGATCCCCAACTAAACTCCATCACATGAGACAAGATCCTTAAACAACTAGTTACACCAAAATTCAACGCTAAATTCCTTGATCTAGCCAATCATCCATCAGAGATTCCATTTCGATGCGTCTGACATTATGATGCTTCTCAAGCCTAAAACATGTGATCTACACATACCTGGCACAATCAAATCCTCCCAGCAGCCTCAAAATTCCAATCCATGCCTACCCACCAAATTTCACTCCAAAATTCCCTTGTTTGGCCCATCATTAAGCCTTGATTCCGTTTTGACAAATCTTATTAATCAAGAGCTTAGTTGTAATTGATCTTTGTCATCCAAGCCTTATTTGGCTAATTAGACCCCACCATCATGTTTGGAGACCCAAAAAACTCCAGCACGTCAAATTTCACATCCTAATTGACCTATTTGACCATTACACCAGGAAGATCTCATTTATAAATAGAGGTCTAGCTTGAGCTTGAGGAGGAGAGGAGAAAGGAGAATTTCCCCAACCTTTATAATGCCTCCAATTTACCTAAAATCCTAAAGTCCTTGAAGATCAAGCCTCAAATCTGCTTCCCCTATTTTTCAGACTGAAGATTTAAAACCTAAAACACTCACCCCAACTCAATAACTTGTCCAATCTTCATTTGAACTTTTTCTAGCTACTGAAAACTCTTCTCAAGGTTGCACACGAGAGGTAAGCTATCATTTCATTGCTCTTCTAAGTTTGATTTTGTAATCTCTGTTTTTAATTTAGTTCTAGGTTGTTTGAAATCTTAAAACCATGGGAAACTTGCATTCTTAGTTTCTTCCAAATTGATAAAAAGAGGTAGAGAGGCAAGGGTCTTAGGTAAATTAGTACCTAAGACCCAATAACATTCTTCAAATCAATTCTAGGTGAAGTTGGGAGCTTTTTGCTTGATTTCAGGAGCTCTAAGCAATCATTTTCATTGGTGTTAAGTTAGAATTTGAGCCTGAACTATTCCCGCATGGGGCTGTTACAATAGCTTGGAGAGAGGGGTGCCTAACATCTTCCCTCTCCTAATCATTGTGATCCAAAGTCTTTCGGTTCAATGCCTTCCTTGGTGGAGGATGGGGTCGCTATCGAAGTAATAAAGTCAACTTTCCTATGTTGAAAATGATGGCCCATTTCCTTTGAAAAATGGGAGGCGACTCCATTTCTTTGAGTTGGCCATGAGCTTCCCAGAGCTCACAATGATAAATTAGAGATGATCTTAAGTCAAGCTTATTGGCTTAGCATCTATGAATGTGTTAGGCCCTAAATCTGAATTGTATATCACCATATTGACATACTACAAATAGATCTATCTGTTCATGGGTCAGGCTTGGGTTTGACTTTTGCCAAAATATGAATGGGCCTGACCCAACATAATGAAAGTAAGGTCTGAAACCTGGCTTGTGAACATGTCTGCTACAAACATACCTTTAATGTAATACTTATTTATTTTTCTTATGATATATTTGTAATGTTATTGCCATATCAAATGTCCCAGTTAATAACTAACCAAATAGGCCTGCTATCAATTACATGTTAAGAGTATAGCTATCAACTATGATATGGTCTTATTGGTTCAGGCAAGATTGGCTTGAAAACCCAACAAGGGATGGTTTGAAAGTTCTGCACATTTACTTGTTGGTTCAGGCAAGATTGCAACTGAATCAAGCTCTAATTAAATAGTTTGGGCACAAGTTCGATTAGGCTCGATTCTAATCGAGCTTGATTAGTTATTTAAGCTCGAGCTTGACTAATAAAAAGTTTGGCTTGAAAACTCATGAGCTTAACTTGATTAACACACACATTATAAAATATGTTTTCTAATATATATTATAAAAATATTTTTATATTATATAGAATATAAAAATATACTATATATTGTAAAAATATTACATATATAAAATAAATATATAAATATATTTATTTTTGAGTTTTTGAGCCAAATTCAAGCTCATTGAATGTTTAATCAAACCAAGCTCGAACTAGAAAATATTATTCGAGTTAAATTTAAACTCTAACTCGAACCTAGTAATATTTCAGTCAAGTCTAACCAAAACTTAACAAAATTCAACTCGACTTGGCTCCATTGCATCCTAGGAAACTACTTGGCTTGAGCCTGAACGAAACTCGACCCATTGACAGCACTATTATTGATATAGGACGGATAAATGGTGAACTGATAATTCAATTCATTCATATTCATTTGATGTGGAATGTCAAACCATGGTAAGACAACCCCATGATCCTCGCTTTAGTACAGGACATTTTTGCCACGTGGTCAGATGGTATTGGGCAAACATGCTATGTAGTTTCCACCACTCCGCCAGGCTGATCTAGCCATGCAAATTATTCATTTGGTAAACAAGAGTAGCCACGAATCAATGACTAGTTGGAACGCCCATTGACTGCGTAGAACAACTTCCAGGTTCCAGCCAATCACCAAGTGGCCTATATAGTGACACGTGTCAGAGCACAAATGGCTGATTGCAAATCCAACTTATCCAACGAGAACGGGCAGATAAGGCACCTGACTGGTTGCCCGAAATCGTTCCACATCACAGAAACCTCAGACTCACTTCGGGAACGACTCACCCAACATATCCAAAATAAATTCCTGATCTCAATCTCCTTCTCTCGCTTACTCGAAACCGTTTCTGAACAGCCGGAGACAGATAGCGAGATAGAGGTCGAGAAATGGCGCAAGCTATGGCTTCGATGGCTGGCTTATGCGGTTCCTCTCAGGCCGTTTTGGAAGGCAGCCTCCAGCTCAACAGCTCCACCCGCTTGAGCCTACCGGGCAACAACCGTGTATCCGTGAGCCGATCTGGTTTCACCGTTAGAGCTCAGCAAGTATCATCGGAAGGTGAGTCCGTCTCCCAGAGCAGCCGACGTGCTGTCCTTGGGCTCGTTGCCGCCGGCCTGGCCACTGGGTCTTTCGTTCAAGCTGTGCTTGCCGATGCTAAGTCTATCAAGGTGGGCCCTCCTCCACCGCCGTCCGGTGGACTGCGTAAGTTTCTGATCCTTTCTGCTGTCAGGATTTCTTTTTTCTGCAATTTGAGAATTAGTCGGACTGGCTCTGCCGACAGGTTCGGTTAACGAGCCGTGCAGAAGAAAGCATTAAGCGATCCAAGGTTGGCAGGCTTGGCAGCCCAACCAAAGCTTTCTACACATTAGCCACATTACCCTATCCTAGGTGGCAGGTCCCAGCTCAGTGGGCTCCTTTCCACGTGGCAAAGAAAAAAAATAGTTCTTAACCAAGAGCCACAAGTAAATGACAGAGCCGTATAGGAATTGAAGAAAAGATCCATTTTGCCGTTTGGTCGGTTTCTGATTTCTGACATTCCCGGCAAATGATGCCGGCGAAATTTAATGTTTTGGCAGCGGGAACTCTAAACTCGGATGAGGCAAGGGACCTCAAGCTACCACTGAAGAATCGATTCTACCTTCAGCCACTGACACCATCAGAAGCAGCACAGAGAGCAAAAGAATCGGCCAAGGACATTGTTAGTGTGAAGGAATTGATAGACAAGAAGGCATGGCCTTACGTCCAGAACGACCTCCGTCTCAAGGCTGAGTATCTCCGCTTCGATCTTAACATCGTCATTTCTTCTAAGCCCAAAGACCAGAAGAAACCCCTTAAAGAGCTGACTTCCAAGCTCTTCCAGACCATCGACAATGTACGTATATATATAGATTCTCAAATTTATTGTTGTCTTCTCATTTAATTAACGGGTTTTCCAGATTAAAAGAAATGGTGTCTGATTTGGTGGTTAATGTCTAATCAGCTGGACCATGCTGCCAAGATCAAGAGCACTCCAGAAGCAGAGAAGTACTATGCCGAGACTGTGTCAACCCTAAACGACGTTCTTGCCAAGATTGGTTAATCAATGTGAGAAGGAATTTCTGTTTGTGTTGCTGTAATATCCTATATTAATTGTTTCTTTTAGAAGACACTTCCTGATTCGATGTAATTCAAAGAGAATTTGCTTTTTGGAAGTCTGCTTCTCAAAATTATATATGTATTAACTTTATGGACAATAGTCGTAGTAGTTGACTAGTAGTAACTACAACACTATTAAGGAGACAAATGGGACAAATATCTACATAGAATGAACCCATAAATGGAGGTAATATTCGAAGATCATATTCAGGTTGAAGCTTTTTTTTTTTGGCTCCCCAATAAATGCAATTTTTGGGGTTACTTCTGACTTCTGAGCAGTGAGAGATATCGGGCTTCAATTGGTTGTTCACTCACGGATCTTGAAATTCTATCATTTGTAATCACTACTGTTTGGTTTCATGTGTGGAAACATTTCCACCCATTAAAATCAATGAAAATTGTTCAAATAGAATTACCAGAAATTATCCTGATTGTTTTAATAGCTGCTAATTATATCTACATTAAATCAATCCGCGCAAGGATGATTACCTAAAGAAAGGTGAAAACTAAAGTCCCTTCAAATTTTATACTATATACTACAAATTAAAATCCAGGAAAAACTGTAGAAAGAAGAAATGTAAACATATATAGTAATTTCATAGTTGATTGCTTACAAGTTTTTTCGGTATCATAGTCGAACCCAACTGAGTTTTATAGTTGAATGGAATTGTTTTTTGGGCTCCCAAGAAAAGGGTTCTGTGTTTCCTAAGAAAACTTGGATTGGTAACACCTGCACTGGTCCAAGTCCAAGGTTTTGGACTTCAGCACACCCTAGTACTTCATATAATGAGATCAAGTTCAATTAGCTTACACTGTACTAGTAACTAGTTCTTAAGGGGTTATTACTTGAAGGGGAGAGTTTTGTATTCAAAGTTGTTTATGCTTCCTCTCATAAACCACCCTGATTGATTGGTTATTGATAAAAAAATGGGAAAGAAAAGGACAATGGAAAGGTTTAGACAATATAATATTGAGGGGTCCTCTCATTTGTCGATAGGTCAGATAGGACTTGGGAGTAGGACCACTAAAGGACCTTTCACTAAACATTTGATAGGCTGCAAGGATGGGAGGCAGCCGTGCTATCCAAAACCAGAAAAACCATTATACATTGGTTTTGAGTTCTATCATCAATCATGTTACAAGTTGTTTGCCCTTGCCTACCTTGCTAATAACACACTCAAAAGAAAAGTGCTGAATGTGGAGAGAATGGTCGTCTTAAGCTATGTTGGGTTTGATAAAAAATACGAAAAACAGAAATTTCAGATAGTTCTTATGGAGTTTCACATGTTATGAAGGAATACAAATACAAATATGTACAAATGGAGCCTTAAGAACTTCTCCTCAACTTTCTGTTTCTCTTTTATATTCTCCCAAACCAATTAGTTGAGGAAGATAGGAATGCAAAATATATTTTATATATGAATATAAATATATATATATTACGATTTCAAAATATTTGCAAAAGTTTTAATTCCCGGGATCCATGTGAACAGAGAGTGCAGCACTGTTCCTTGTAGCCGAGGGAGAGGTCTTCTCTTATCGGGCAGTGTTTGATCATTATGGGCTGAGAGGTTAAGTGTAAGACCATTGAAGGTAATACCTGATGGGCTAATCTTGCATTTGCCCACAATCCCTAAGTGTTACAAGGTGGCTTGGCACATGGACCACTTAGTGTAAGTGTTGGGCCCATAGAGTCCATGTGATGGGCTTAAGGGGTTCACTGGGCTTTCTAGTGAATTCAGCTAGGCCTTGTAACAAAGGCTGGGCCGAACCCTTGTGGCTGATGTATAGATCAATGCTTGGGTCCCACGCCATACAAGGAAGCCCAACTGGGCAGTAGTTTGGAAGGCTTAGTGAGCACATATAGTAATTGGGCCTAAAGCCCATTTCGAACTGGGCTGATTTGATCAGTTAAAGAAAGGGGCGGATCTGATATTAGATTAGCAGATAGGATAGGGTTTTAACCCTATCCACTCAGAGAGTCCAAATCTGAATACAAATTCAGATTTAGAAACCTCTTAATGGGATTAGGAGAGGGCCGATCTAACCTGCAGATAAGATAATGGTCTATCCTTATCTCTTAAGGGGAATTCAGATCCAAATATGATTTGGATCAACAACTCCTAATGAGATTGGGAGTTGATCCCTTTAAGGTTATAAAAGGAGGAAGGGGCGGCAGCCTTTAGAAGATCACATTCTCGCTTTCAGAGCAAGAGATACAGAAGAGAGAACATAGAGCCACTGCGCTATTTTCTCCCTGCCGCCGCCATAACTGCCAGTTCGATCTCCTCTTTCAAGAAGGAACGATCAAGATTGAATCTTGATATCAGCCTTTGGAGAAAGGCTGATCTGAAGTTGTGCTCACAGCCTCCAGCGAACTCTTGTGAAGGGTTCGGTTCGTTGGACGAACATTGCTGATTCTGCTCCATCCTACACTACGCCATCTTCAGTGGGAGCAGTTTTTGGTTCCTTCCTTGGGCGTGAACACCTCCATTGGGAGATACTGTTTCTCTATATCAGGTATATCCCTCTTTTGCTTCTGGTTTCAGATCTGGTTCGGTTTATGGTTCAAGATTGATCTTTGAAAATGCAGATTTTCTAAAACAGGGAATGCGATTCCTAGATGAGGGGAGAGAAAATGTTTGAAATTTCGCCCAACCTACTTGTAGGGTTCGGCCATCCATATGATGGATCTCTCATCCCTTCAGAAAACATATCATTTTCTTGGGTTTATTAAAAAACTATTTGTATGCCTAAATAACTTGGCTGTTTAGACATTAGAGAGAGTAAAAAATGGGAAAAATAACTTCTTGTAAGGTCAAATTAGGCCGAAAATTTTTATTTGATAATGACAGTATATGGGTTAAAGTGGTAAGGAACTAAGGACTGCATATTTAAAAATCAAAACAAAACAGTTTTTTTTTTAATCTACTCTCAAAAATATATAGTATTTCCTCATGTAGGAGAGGGATTCGAGAGGTCTTATTAAAATGAATTAAATGGAGAGTTGGGAATTGAAAAAAGATTCATTTTCGGAGTGAAATTAAAACTAGATGGAAACATACCGCTGTTTAGAATAATAAGGCCAATTGCCCAAGAAATTTAAATTCAATTAACATGGATTTAAATTTTGACTTTTTCATTGATCAAATTATTAATTCTTGGGGCTTGGTCAAGTTAGATAAATTCATTCCAAGAGACATCGGAGAAAAAACTAAAGGTTGTTTATATCCTTTATAGAGATATGAAGGATATCATGAGGTGGGAAGTAGGTGAAAAGGGCCAATACTTTTCTACCAAAACTGCCACATGGATCAATCAGAGATACAGAATGAACATTAAGACTAAGGTTGTGTTTGGATAAATTTGCACAAAGCCCCAATTCTTCTTGTCAAATGCCCCCTTCGAATTAATCCATGTATGTTGGATGGCAAGATGCTCTTGCTACTAGAATATATGTCTAAATTTGCCTACATGTTGTCAAATTCCCCCTTAATTAGCTCAGTTTAGGAAGGTTGTAAATACAAATATACATACAAACTATGCTTAAATCGAATGATAAGAGACCCCTCTACCTTATTGACTGGAAGAAGGTCTGTACCCCTAAATGCTAGGAGGAGGGAGGTTTGGGTTTAAAAAATCTCCATTGGGTTAATGAAGCGAATTTAGCAAAACTGGGATGGAAAATTCTCAAAGCGAAAGAAAACCTTTGGGTTAGAGTTGTCAAAGGCAAATATCTCCAAAAGGATAATTTTTGGGATGTGAAAAAAAAATATATATATCTCTTGGGCATGGAGAGGTATTCTGAAATCTAGAGAGCTCATTAGTAAAGGAATAGGATGGGAGCTTGGAAATGGTAATCAATAAGAATCTGGAAAGATAGATGGGCGGAGGATATGGGTTTTGAGGAGAGTATCCCTCAAGAAATGATTAATAATAATGAGCTTTTAGTGAGTGAGGTTATGGATAATGAAAGGAATGTTTGGAGGGAGAGTAAAATTAGGAGCTTAGTCCCTACCAATTTATGGGAGAAAATTAGAACTATTTTCATTCCTACGGACTCAAGGGAAGATAAATTAATCAGGAGATTAAATACAGATGCAACGCAATGATTTGGAAACTAAGTTGTCCCGCAAAACTTAAAACATTCATGTACCTCTTCCTCAAAAGAAACTTCCTAGTAAAATTTTCCTTAGAAAACAAAAGGATTTAATATTGATGGCTCTTGCAGCTTTTGTGGTGAAGATGAAAATATGGAACGTATATTTAAAAAGCTATGAAATGGCTAGTCAAATATGGAGAATGCTACCCTTTTCTTTTGTTAATCCAAATGATGTTGACTCATCTCTTGTCGAGTGGTGGGCTAAAGTGAGGGATAATGATTTAAGTGGGGTTTTTAATTGCAAAGACAAGTATGTTTTTATTTTATGGAGTATATGGAAGAATCGAAACAAAAAAATCTTCAATAATACCAGTTCCCCTCCTCAGATGACTATGGAGAAAACATTAAAAGCTCATAAGGTATATGAAAGTTCTCAAAAGTAAACCTATCCTGTGCAACATAAATCATGGAAACTTGTCACTTGGAAAGCTCCAAAAATTAATTTTGATGCCACTCGTTCTAGTAATGGGAGATGATCCATTGCAGCTATTGCTAGAAATCACAATGGTGAAATTGTGGATTTCAAAATATACATCTTAGGGGATACTACTATCAATCTGGTAGAGGTTTGGGCAGCTTGGGAGGCTCTTAACTTTGGCAGCAAACTTCTCTAACAACTCCATCATCATCCAGGGTGACTCAAAGATAGTCATCTCTTGCCTTAAGTTCCTCTTTAATCCACTGTGGCGCCTGAGGACCATTGCTCGGGAATGCTTTGATTTTGAACGAGGACATTCACTCTAGGCTAATCGTGCTACGGATTGGTTAGCAAATGCAGCTCTTTCATCGGCTCATGGGTGGGTGGACTTTAGTCTTAATAATATTCCTCATGATTTAGTTTGCATTTGCTTGAGTGACTTCAAGGGGAATGCTACCCCTCGGCTTGTGTAGCATAAGGTTTTATCAAAATAAATAAAAATAAACTGTGCTTCAAACCGGTGTTTTGATATGCAAATTAACCGCACTGGTTAGCCATATAGTATGTATTATTTTAAGCTTGTATCGACAACAAAGCAACAATCTACTATTTTTAAAACTTAGAATGATATTCTTTT